TACTACAAGTAAATAACTTCTGCAAATATGCTTATTAATATTCAATTAAAAACTTAGATTTATTTAACACTACATAAGTATCTTGTTAAATTTGTAAAATATTTGATTTAATTAACTTTTTTTTTTTTTATTGATCGTTTACAACTTCGGCAACAAAGGCCATTAGTTATTTTATTTTTTACATTACGTTTGCTTACATGTTTAGATTTGGTTATAATAATTAACTTTTATTTTAGTTTTTATCATATTATTCCCTTTCTACYTGTTTATTATTCTTTTGTTTTCATAATTAATTATGTTAGCCGTTAGGTATTCCTATCATATTATATTTTAAGATTTTTAAGTTTATATATTATTTTTTGGCGTCTCTTTTTTCTTTAACTATTAATTGTTACATATTATAATACATATACTTATCAGCGCTTCCCATTCTTTTACCTCACAGCACACTAGTCCAAACAGATATTATGCGGTAGCATACTTGATACTGACTTATATACATATTATGTTTATTAAATACATTTTTTTTTAAATATTAGGCCATTAGGCTTTTATCATATCACATAAAGTTGCAGATCAGAATATTTCTAGCAAATAATTTCAAATAGTGTTCATTTTGGTAAGGAAAACTCATGTAAAATCATATTTTAATATATGAAAAATATGAAATTTAATAATGTTGAAAAACAGAGACATTGCATTATGATCATGTTATGTTTATGTTAGATATAAAAATCTAGTCCTAGTAAGAAATTTGAGATATTAAAGTAAGAGAATTGTTAAAATTATTTTAACTTATTATCAAAATTAAAAGTAATCGTATTAATAATTGTGATATCTCGTGGCATACCAGTTGGGAAACCCTGATGTATACACACTGTTAAATTCTATTTAATGTACCCTATTTGGAATTTATCTCCATAAATAAATTATTTTTAACTAGGTWTTAATATTATTTATATGATTTAATTATAATACCTACCTAACGTACTTTTTTATTTATATATTTTAATATTTAGTGGTGTATATATATAATTATATTGTAAATACCTACTAAAAARATATTCAATTGTGACAGTTAACATTTATGTAGTACTTTAAGCAATAATAACAAATTAAATGAGTAATGCCTATTRATAGCTAAAAATATGAGTCTGTTAGTAGTTGAACTAAATACAAATCACAAAATAATAGGTTATAGGTATATAATATGTTAGGTCTTAGAAATGTACTTTTTTAATAAATTTGTAGATTTTGTTTAGATCTTATGGAGGTTAATAGGCAATTATTGTAAGTTAATTTCAGCTGATTAATGACAATATTTAACTAGAATGAGAATGGGTAATAAAAAATAATAGGTTATCATCTTTCCAAAATCAGCGGGAATTTCGGTTTTTCATCATTTTTCCTGAARTAAAACTGTTTATAGCCTCAGTGGGCCTACTGAGTACAAAAGTATTAAGTAATTAAATAAAACTATCCAAGTAAATTAAGGTAGTTGAAAATATAAAATAAATATTAATACCATCAGCAATTAACATAAGTTAACCTATTGACTGTTATTGATAACTAGGGCCCAGAAGTTTATGCACTAAAAACTAACGAAATATGTATGCACGTATGCGCTTAAATATGCTCGTATTTTTTTTTTTTAACTTATAAATATGAGGGAAAAGCTGTTATCAGGCCTGCCGCGGTCTTGCGGTTATTTTATAATAGAATATTATATTGAGCAAGTTAAACACATTAAATTCGGCACGGGCGCGCTCGTCGATCGACGGATCGACGTAATAAGATAAAGCCGATAAAGCTAGCTGTAGTTAAAATTTATAAATATATATATAAATATATTATAAAACGAATTGGGGAAAAATATTGTTTTTAATATCAAAGGGAAATTTGAAAAATACGAGATAAGGATATCTAATAAGTTCTCTCAATATAAATGTGTTTATTTATTTACGAATTTTTATACTGTATCTTTATAAATTATAAAATATGCTCTAAAAAATTGTAAACTTAAGAAATATGCTCCAAACTTCAAAAATCACTAAATATGCAAAAATATGCACTATAAACTTTTGATATGTTTTTCGTAGTGTCTTGGAATGCATTTCTAGCTCACTTAGCAATAAATCTTATAGTTCAAAAAAAACATGCAAATGCATTAACTTCCGGGCCCTATTAAATAACTATTGAATAATATTTAATTACAATTATTAAATATGATATTTAGAATCCAAATTATACCAATTCTTTAAAGACTAAAAATTGATATCACCTACTGCATTTTTAAACTACCTAGTTATCTAGTATATTTTAACTCAGCTCTGAGAGAATGATGTTACCTGTACATATAACTGATGATAAGGAATTGGAATTCAATTAATTGTAATGTGATTAATTTTGGTTAGTTTACAACCACTTTTTAACAATATACTTTATGAAATGTATGACATAATGATAGCAGATTATTTTTTATACTTAACTGTCTCTATCTAGAGAATACTATTGTGCAGAAACCAAAACTAGTTTTTTTCCCATAAAACACTACCTACTGAGATAATTCAACAATTAACACTTTGATTGTTTAATTAAAAATTAACAATGAATTATAATTTAAGTGACATAAAAACGACCACATATGAACGCAGATTTTCTCAAYTATAAGTGGTTAATTCACTCAAATACCTAAAATTCAAATAAAAAATTAGTTTTGATGAACGTGAATATAATAAGTTTCACATGGGTACGAAAGAAAACAACAAATAGTAAACTGACATTACCTATACCACTTTTAAAAATGTGAGAACCGAAGCATAAAAAATTCCAGATCATAGGTAACAGAGATRCTTATTATGTTATAGTTTATTAGTTTATACACTGCTTTGTAAACTTATATTTGGAACAGATGCTAGGTACAAGTTACATTAATTCCAATAAAAAAATCAAAGATAATTTGAATAACATGCACTATTAAACAAAACAGTTTTATACTTTTTATCAAAGTATCATCTATGGATATTTATTGTTGGCCACAGCCACGGTATATCAAATAGTTTGTGGTCACTGAAATATCCATTTTACACTTGGCCTTCTAAAGGCTAATTCAAAATAAATATTTTATATAAAATATCACAACAATATTAATATTAACTAGGAAAAATTAAATAATACAATAATACTAGATATAATTTTACTAAATACCTATTAAGTACCGATTTYATTATAAATTATTTTGATATTAATTTATAGGATTAGGCATGATTATTAAATAATATAACATTGTAATTATGGTATGCATTTTCAATCAATAATGTGCAGTCATTCAAATGGATTATCAACATTTAAAACTAAACGCAGAAATTATAAATATACCAAAAATATCTATAAATAACAATAATTTCGTAAAAATCAAAYGTTAAATAATCAAGTTATAAATAAGATAAAGAAAGCAGATTTGAGAAAATAAAATGTTAAGTCTGTGCCATATTTTGAGCATGCTTTTAACTAATAGCGAAATGGACAGTTAAATGAACAAATATGTCTGATAAGGTCTAGACAACGCCAAATCAAGAATGATAATTATTCATGTACAAAACAATGGAAAACAATTTAGTCTTTAACACTGCATCATCCGATCGGTCATGTTTGGGCCCGGCGAAATTAAAAGGATGTTCTTTAAACCCAGGACAATGCAAGGAGAAGGCAACGCTCATTAAACCACAAAAAAAAAATGAAAAAGCGGTTTCACTTGTCGGCAAGTAGGAACTGTAAGCGACTGCTAACATGCGGTTGTCGATGAACGGCGGCCGCGTACGAAAGGTCCGCGGCGCACATGTGCCCATCGGACGACGATGCCAAAAAATGYGACAATAACAATAATAATAACAACAACGACGGAAACTACATACTTACGGTTTTTTTTTAACGGATCTGACGGCGGTGTGCGATCGTAAACGTACGCCAAACAAATCAAAAAACGGGAAAAGTTTTTGAGACGATGATGGCGATGCGGACTACAACAAACTGAGCTACGATACGAGAATCAGTGAAAAATGTGGAGTGTAATTACTTTGGAGTGCGACGTTTTGTTGTAATCGCAGGACGATTAAAAACGATCGAGAATGACAGTCGGACTTGACAAACGGTAAACGGACACGGTCCGTATTGCTTGTTCGTGCGACAGGCGCAAAAAAACGAAAAAACAATCTATAGGTGAAAAGATAGCAACGGAGTTACGAGCTGCAGAGGTTGGATTGGTGGCTTTCCCGTAAAGAAATCAACACAAAAAGAAAAATAATAATAAGAGAATAGAAATCCCTTCGCGATGTCGCCGTCGTCAGCCGTCGGCCCGGGCCGCCGGTACCGCCACCCGGCCGTCACCCGACACAAAGCACAGTGCATCCAAYACACTAGACGGCCGGTACCAATCCACAGTGATCATTGGCGCCAGATGATGTAGTATTTAAATCCGTAAAATAAAATATGGGAAATAGGTATGCATTATATTATGCAGTATTACAATATTGTTTAGACTAAAGTAGCATCATTTTAGTTTTATATGGAAAATGAACCAAGAGCATTGTTTGTTCATTGTCAAGCTTATATCATTTATATATTATTTAAATCTTGTTACCCAAGATAGTATGCAAAATGTAGAAAAAGCTAGTGATGTATTAATTTGTATACGAATACGATAATTAATTACATTGAAATAATCACCTAAGACTTAAGAGGTTTTATTGGTTTAAGACAAATCAAAAAGAAGAAAATGTTACTCCCCTATGGCCAGTATGCCCTACAAAATGGACTAAAGATGGTTAAAAGTTCTTTCTGTTATGGACCGCTCCAATGAGCTATTGACATTTTTGTCAGATTTTTAATAAATAAATATTATGAATAATTATGCAGGTTCTAAGGCAAATAACTTTTTTTTTTWAATTAAAGTCTGTAGATACTTTTATTATGCTTAAACTAGTGATGAGTATTTTTAAACTCATAGAGGCTAGACTACAATTAATACAGTGTTGCAAAGTAAATCTTTATATTTTAAATTTTCTGTTCAAATTTTGAATACCTTATTATAATTAATATTGATAATATAATCATATTATTGGAATCTAAAAATACATATAGTCATAATAAAAATTATATCACAAAAGAATCTAAMAAACGAAAATACCTCTTAAATATGAAGAAAGTACTACTCAGTTCTTTGAATTATTACCTACTTGAAAGTAAGTATAATCAAATTTTTAAAGAAATTATTTATCAATTACTTTCTGTTAATTATATTTAAATTTTACAAGAATGATTTAAATATTGATAAATTTCCGCTTTATAGAGTCATAGAGATATGATTCATTATATTTATATGTATAATTTAACGGCTTAACTGCTCAAGACTTAATTGTTTCATCAATTGCAAATTGCAAATATATTTTAAAAATAAATCGTATTTAGTCATTCATCTAACTGAGCTTAGGAAATGCATGTAATTGATATTTGATATTAACTATTAGTAGTACCAGCCACAACATGCACTTCTGATCGTTTTCATGATTCAAGATTAAAAAATTATGTATAAGAAGTACTATACTAGTATGACAAGAATCGATTGAATGATTTGGCAGTCTAAATTGTCAGAAAATCTTTGGACTTATGCAAGATAGCCGACAGGAAATATATTTATAAACTAGTGCTTGGCAATAATAACATTAAAAACTAATTTTTCATTAAAATTAGTTATTATGCTATACAATTTTTTTTAGTCTTCACTGGAGCTTATAAAGAGAATTGAAATAATATCCATGTATCTATAGTAGTTTAAGTTTTTTACCATCCCAAGTGCTAAAAGTCAGCACCTATGGAGTACACAAGGATGTCTTAACAAAATCATCTCTAACAAAATGTCAAAATATGATTTTTAGTTTTTAGTAGGTACTATCGACGCAAATCGCAATCAATAATCATTATATTTTCTATTGTTAGAATATTATGTGGTTATTACCAAATTATCATTATCTTTATCTTGATTTACCAATCAATCATTACTCACGATAAGGAATACTCTTAGCTAGGCTACAYTGCTACAATTGAACAGTTTTGGTATGTTCCAGACCAAGATATATAAAGAAGATGGATAGATAGAATATTATAGATATTGATATAATATAATATAATATTATTCTATTATTATAAATCTATTGGTTCATGAAAATGCGAGATGCAACTCATGACACATAGATAATATAATATTTCCAGGTTTCCAATCCTTGTTAATTATTTCACTTAAATTAAATGCGTATATAACTATACTAGTATACCTACTACGCGCATTAAAAACATATTTACTAATAATAGCCAATATGGCATTGGGCAGAAACACCCTAATCAATAATTTGACTTGGCCTCTTTTTATACATTCTTGTACTTGCCTTCTGTATTTATCCTGTAATTGCGTATTTGTGTGAACATGTGTCTGTACATTTATTCTTAAAATCGAAACTATGKATTTTATTAAGRTTACGTAGCTTGGCATTTTGAATAAAAGGCCTTTATTGGCCAAAATGCCAAATCATCTACTAGAAAATTTTCGTTTTTGAGTTATACCTACTCGGTGTTTTGAAAAAATCACAAAAGCCTACATTTTTAATATTATTTGATTATTTTAAAGAAGCAAGAACATAATCTATTTGGAACATGTGTTTATAAAAAGTGATAAAAAAAAAATAAAATACATTTTGAAAAGAATGACAGAAACCTGCAAAATAAAAAATTTAAACAAGATAAACATAAGTATTCAGAAAATAATTTAAGATTTACTTATATCTGAAAATTCAGAAAAATATTGTAATGAAAAAAGTTATTACGTTTTGAAATAATTTAATCCAAAATAATATTGATATTTTAAAAATAAACTAGTTAACTTATAAAAAGGGCTTTTATACCATCAACATTAGATTTATAAATTGGTTATTTCAAATTTTTCCAAAGCAAATTTAATAAAATACACTTTTTTCAGTATTAAATAGATAATAAAAATAAGAAAATTATACTGTACTTGAAGTGTAAAAGTAAAAATCTATAAATTATATGAAAAAAAAAAATATCGATTAGAATAAAATATATTATACACAGGGCATATTTTAAGTAATTTTCACTGGGTGGCACTTCAATAAAATTGTCTACCAGAGGAACATAGAAAGAAAATCAACTCTCCTATCTCAACAATTTTGATATAGGTTTATTAACTGTACTCTACTGAAAAATACATCTACAAGTTGTATATAGGTTTATTTATTGAGAATTTGAGATATTATTATTATATCAAAATAACCGATTTTTCAATAATAAAACTTTGATAAAATAAGTAGAACAGAGTATATACATTTCTATCAGTATCTGTATTTAAAAAAATACGTGTTAAAATTTAAAATTATGTTTGAATCTATGGAAAAAATTTTTTGTATAAATTCTTGATTCTGGTATAGCTCTGGGTCAGGTTAGAGCATTAGAATATCACTGAGGGGCACTAGTGCCCCGTACTTTGTATGTTAAAATATACTATGATTATACACGTTACACTTAAACAATTTACACGTTGTATTTATAATATAAGTAAAAAAATAAAAATAAAAAAATGTTATAAACGTAGTAAATAACCAATAATATACTATAACATATACTATATACATGAAACCGGTGTGCAGAACATCTATAATTATTGCTTATGTTTTGTTAGGTATATGAAAAATATGAAAAATGTAAAAAGAATATAWAAATTCTAAAAATTAATAAATAGTTTTTGAAAAACTAAACCCAATAGATAAGTCTAGTCACTCGGTGCTATCTATTGCTATCTATTAACGAAAACAATTTTTATACGTTACATTAACTATTAACTTCATGAAAATCGATGAATCAATAACTTTGTTAGAATTGTTARATAGATAAACAACTTTCGCGAGATGGCAGATAGGTAAYTAAATCTACATTTATGACTTATTGAGGTATCTGCCGATATACTAAGGCATGCTATTAGTCATAARCTAAAGTTTTCTAAGTATTTAATGAAGAGTATTCATCAATACCGAGTTTAATTGTCTATTTATTTAAGTACGGGAGTATTTAATAATAACTTATGATTTAAATTCTTCTACTTAGCAACATTATTATAATCACAATTAGTTATGTATTAAAAGTGATGTGGGTACACTGGGTACTATTACAGACATTTAAGATACTACTTAAATACTTATATTGTATAGTATTTCAAATACTACTCAAATATTTTCAAATACTTTTGGTCTTTATAAAGTAGGTTTCTAATTAACGTAGGTATTATAGACACATAGTAGGTTTATAATAATTTTTATTTCATTTATTAAATAAATGTTTATTACATTTTAGAAACATAATGTAATCAAAATATTACGGTTAGAATTACTTATATTTAAACTTAAAGTAATTAATTAATTTTAATTTATGTAATTATTGAACAGTAAAAACTATATCACACTTTCAATAGACAGACACATTGTAAACATTTACGAACTACTCAACTACCAACTACTGCAGTCTAGTGCCTACTACACATAGACATTACACATGTCAATAAATAAAACATTGCATGTTTGCACTTTGCAGCTATATAGTGAAACAACTATATTTTTCCCGTAATCCCGAATAACCATTAAGGGCAGCCATTGTATCTGATATCACAGATCAACAATTACCTATTTAATCTAATAATACAGAAGGAAAATTGTTATTGAATA